CCAGACTGAAATAAGCCCAAATCTGTCTATGTGGAGACTGGGGGAAAGAAGGGAGGGAAAAGGATAGGAAATGGTAAGGATAAAAAGGAATACAGAAGACCCTCCTGTTGAGTCACAAGGTTCACAGTAGACCCTCATGCTACACTGAGCCCAGACTTGACCAACACTTTATGCCTAAAGGTCCAACATCACTTAAACTTTATAAAACAGCACTTAACAGCACTTAACTTATCAGTACTTAATTGATAACTGAAGCTAAACAATTTAGCAAAATATTCATATAGAATTTACTATATCACAACAATAACACAAATCTGACTTACCACAAATTTAAAGTATTTAAGGATCTGGGAGAACAGCATTCCTAGTCCATTTGCTGTGGCATATTCACACTTGCATGCACACGGAGTCAATACAAGGTATATGCATGTGAAAAATTCCCCGTGAATTCAGTGAAATACTTACTTTGGATGCCTTTGCACCTTCTCAACAGGCAAAGGGTTGAGCCTTGTGGAGCCGAGGTTATCAACCCACGATCCTTTGTTGTGGTTTGCAAGTCTCCAAGTGTAGCAAACTTGAGAGTTTGTTGGCTCTGAGAGGCCCCTCTGAGGGAGACGCTGGTCACAGATTGCTGTGGTCCAGGAGTCTCACTCTGGACCATTGTTTATAGAGTCACAAGAAAGGTGGCATTAGTCATAATAATTTTCCATCCTGACCACAGTTCAGGTCAGCTTTCTTTGAAAGTTTGATAACAAAAATATTATTGCACTTAGGTCATTCTTTAGGCAAGAAAAGTAAGTTTCATTAAAAAGCAGGAGTTCACTAGACAACACTAGTTCCTGGGAACAGTGTTTCTGATAATCCCAAGATGACCTGAGCCCAGGTGCTGTTCATCAAGGCTGAAGTCTAACCAGCATTTCTCAGATCACAGTTCAGCCTAGGCGAGGAGGGAGGATGCACCGCCACAGAGGTCTAATAAAAGTCAATGAAAGAGTAATGATGTGCTGAGCTTCGATCTTTCGAGTTTGCTGTTACAGCTTCTAGGATTGTCTCCTACAACCCCATCCCTTAATCTAGAAGTGATTGCCAACACCACCTCATTCACGGGTCACACAGCGAGAAGCTGCTGTCAGCCTATGTTCACATGGCAGGTGCCCAGGGAGCAGCTCCAGGCCCTGGGATTGCCCACTGTCCATCTGCAGAGGGTGGCAGGGGGGGAAGGAACCATGCACACCATACACAGGCAGGACCAGGCTTCCCTTTTTCTCCAAATATCATTAAGACTGATGATCTGGATGAGGGGATTGAGTCCACCATTAGCAAATTTGCAGATGACACCAAGCTGGGGGAGTGTCGATCAGCTGGAAGGCAGGAGGGCTCTGCAGAGGGACCTGGACTGGCTGGAGAGTTGGGCTGATTCCAACAGGATGAGGTTCAACGAGGCCAAGTGCCGGGTCCTGCACTTTGGCCACAACAACCCCCTGCAGCGCTACAGGCTGGGGACAGAGGGGCTGGAGAGCAGCCAGGCAGAAAGGGACCTGGGAGTTTGGATTGGCAGGAGGCTGAACATGAGCCAGCAGTGTGCCCAGGTGGCCAAGAAGGCCAATGGCATCCTGGCCTGGATCAGGAACGATGTGGCCAGCAGGAGCAGGGAAGTGATCCTTGCCCTGTACTCAGCACTGGTGAGGCCACACCTGGAGTGCTGTGTCCAGTTCTGGGCCCCTCAGTTCGGGAAGGATATTGAGGTGCTGGAGCAGGTCCAGAGAAGAGCAACCAGGCTGAAGGGACTCGAACACAAATGCTGTGAGGAGAGGCTGAGGGAGCTGGGGTTGTTTAGCCTGAAGAAAAGGCTCAGAGGAGACCTCATCACTATGACTCCCTGAAAGGAGGTGGTAGCCAGGTTGGTCTCTTCTCCCAGGCAGCTCTCAGTAAGACAAGAAGGCATGGTCTCAAGGTCTGCCACAGGAGGTTGAGGTTAGATGTTAGGAAGAAATTCTTTATAGAGAGGGGTAATCAGGCATTGGAATGGGCTGTCCAGGGAGGTGGTGGATTCTCCGTGCCTGGAGGTATTTAAGAAGAGACTGGATGTGGCACTGAGTGCCATCGTTTAGTAACTGTGGTGGTAGTGGATCAAGGGTTGGACTTGATGATCTCAGAGGTCCTCTCCAAACCAGCTGATCCTATGATTTCCTTCAGAACACGTTTTTTTACAAATGTGTATCCCAATCCTTCAGTGAACATCCGTGTGAGAAGCCTCATGTAGATTTATATAAGCTACGCAACATCTCACAACATGCTTCTCACAAATTACCAGTGACAGATCAGAAGTGGAACCAAAAATAGCAGATTCTTGTTCCAGATAAAGACTTCAGCAGTTACTGAAGTCCCAGCATGGTGCCAGAGCCCCCCAGGATCATGGAACACAATGGTTTAAGGCTTGCAGTCAGCCCCAGCACATCAGGAGCCAGCAGGCAAACTTTGCCACTGACAATGACAATAGCTAAAGTGACTTTTGAAATCAGTGTAATTTAATTATGCTTATTAATGAGGCTCTTCACACACAACAAAAAGATAATTCAAAATGAAGAAATTTGCTGGCTTTTAAGGCCTTTCCAATAGCTAATAATTTGAAGGACTCTTCTCTCTTCTTTACTAATCACATTATTTAAAACTGCAGTTCATATCTGAAAACTGACGAGTGATTTCCCACACCAAATGAAGGCTGAACTGGCAACTTGCAGCATTTGTTCCAGTTAGAGAGTCAGCAAACCCAGGCATTTTATAATTACGGATCTTGGCTGTTGCTGATTCATGCATTTAGATACTCAGCCATTCTTATTGAAGGGAACACAAAAACAGTATTGGAGCTTTTTAATTTATTAGAGGGTCCTCAATTAGCCAAGGGGGCTGCTTACACACACCAATATATTGAAAATGGACAGATATGGGTTCAACAAAAATAACCTTAATAACCTCTCAGAAAAAAATCAAGCATTATTATACAAATTCAGAGTAAGGTCCTATCACATTTGCAAGTGAACTTGTATTTAAGTTCAGCATCACTCACGAATTTTTCCTCTTGTCCAAGTCAAATCTTTTCAGTTAGTTAGTGCACTGAGCTTATACAGTACGTTGTTTTCCAGTGTTGCAAGTGGATAATACTGTACATAACCAAGTAGTAACAACAGTGTTTTAATCTTGAAAAGTCCATTTGTTTCACTAAAGGTGCACTATTAGAACAATAGATGTATTTAATAATTATAGTGTAATTGTCATATTACAGCTTCTCCCATTTCACTGTGACAATTGTGCAGTTAAAAATGAATTCTACAGCTAGATAACCTGTACATATGAGGGAGGAAAAAACACTAGAGATTTGTTCAAAATGAAAAATCCTCATCTTTCATTTAAATAAACTATGTTCTGCTTTTGAAGACAGATTTCCTTAACATTTGTAAGATGGTTATTTTGTAAAAATATACTTCCTTACTCTACAGATAAGACAAAGAGTAGTGGGTAAGAGAGTAGATTTAGCCTAAATATTAGGAAGAAATTGTTTACTGTGAGTGGTGAGGCACTGGAACAGGCTGCCCAGGTAAGTTGTGGATGCCCCATGCCTGGAAGTGTTCAAGGCCAGGCTGGATGGGGCTTTGGACAACAAGGACGAGAGGACATAGCCTCAAGCTGTGCCAGGGGAGGCTGAGATTGGCCATCAGAAGAATTTCCTTACTGAAAAGTTGTCAAGTATTGGAACTGGAGGACTGGACTGCCCAGGGAGCTGGCAGATTTACCATCCCTGGAGGTGTTCAAGGAATGACTGGACATGACACTTAGTGCCATGGCCTAGTTAACATGACGGTGTTGAAAGGCTGGACTCAGTGGTCTTGGAGGTCATCTCCAACTTAAGTCATTCTGTGATCTAGGGGAAAGTGTCCCTGCCCATAGCAGGGGGAGTGGAACTAGATGATCTTTAAGGTCCCATCCAACCCAGACCGTTCTAGGATTTTATAATCATGTAATAAAATCCCACCATAACACACAGCATTCAGTATTAGTTGTTAGTGCTGGAAAATTTTACACAGTTTATGGCAAACATTGTCTTGAGTTGTTGAACCAGTGTAGGGGAATCAACAGTTCTCTTCAGTACAGACCTCCATCCCCACCAAAGCACAACAGCAACGTAAAAAATCAAATAGAGTTTGCCATCTGGAAAAAAGCCAGCCACTGAAGGACAATCTTTTTGTGCAAAAAGATGCTCTTACTGTCGCTCCCAGCTTCACTGAACGAGCACGTTCCCCATTTTTACTGTGATATATGTATTAATTGTGCTCTTTGCTTGTATATATTATTGTAATGGCTCTGCCTGTAGTTTGCATTTTATAGAGACAGAAAAATAGTATCCAATACTGAAGCCCTGTATTCTGGAGCTGGAAGGTGGTAGCCCATATGTAAGAAGTCAAAATTACTTTCTAACGCCAGCTTGCACTTGGTGTTTTTCCCAATTGTGAGTAGATGCACAGTTGTTGATGGTGTGTGATCAGGAAAACAAGGACTTGGACTTCCAATTTCAACACAAACCAGCCAACACACCCCCTAAATGCCCCGAAACCTATGGTGCCACTTTTCAGTACGGGAGTGAAGTGAGCCCAAACATGGCATTTGTATAGTGACAGTTCATTCCCTTGGAAAACCCAGTATCAAAATTCTGCAGTTTTACTTTATGGATACTAAAGCTGGATGAACACAGACAGAGTCATTAACTATTTTATGTATTTTTGCAAGCTGAGCCACAAAGATGTCATGATACTCAGCTGAAGCATTGCCATATGTAAACTCTGAAAAGTGGAAGGGACCAATTTAAGTTGCTATTGATCACAACATTTCTCCTGAAAATTGCTACGGCATGGCATCACAAGATGCAGATCTGTTAGCTGCCAGCACCATGTAAAACAGATTTTAAATTTGCACATAGTTTGAAATGTTTGCAGTTACGCAGTGAATTCCAACAAAGGCAACCCAATGTGTTTTATTAGACTATTTCATATTTTTGTAAGCTTATTTTATTTCTTTGCTGTACAAAGGCAGAAATGCAAACTATCTCAATAAATCTACATCAGTAACTACCTAGACATGATACAGGTATGTACACAAACACAATTATTTAACTTCAGTGTTGATACCATAGTTCATGCAGAGCTGGATGCAAACAATGCAAACAGCACCTACACAGTGTAAGGCATAACTCTCAGGATATTTACATCTTGCTCCTTATAGCAAAAGACTTCCTCTACACCACTTCTTTGCTAAACTTGTAATTGACAATCCTGCTTAGTAGTGCAGAACCGAAAGTGCATTTCTTCATTTTATACAATCTCACACAGACTGTGGACTGTTCCAGGAATAGTTTTCCAGCCTTCATTTTTAGAAGTAATTGATTACCTATGTTTTTTGTCAATTAAAATTATTTTAGAAGGTAAAATACCCTTTTCCCAAAGGTCTGTAGATCACATGCAATTATGAAAACAAGGCTCCTAAGAGCGACTCCAGGAACTGTTGTCTTTCGACTTCGGAAGATCGGTAATCCCATGAAAGCACTCCGTCAATCCACTGCTGTTTTTTTAAAACACTTTGTAACGTTTCAGGTTCTGAAGTTTGCAGATCCAAGCAGCTTTGGAAAAGTTCTGTAACACAGGTATTTACATTCTGTATTAGATTTTTATGTTGCAATTAATCTGGCATCTCAGAAGAGTTTTTTTCTTCCCTCGGAGATCTCACTTAAAAAGGAAATTAAAAAGGAAATATGATTACTGTCACTGAAGAAAATACAATTCTGACTTAATTTACAAGCAAAATAAAATAAAAAAATGCCTAGGATTAAAAAGTCAACTCTTCCCCTCAAATATAAAGCAGCAGTGCTAAAAATAATTTCTCTTTTGTGTTCTGAGCTACTGCAATTCCTTCCACATTTATTTTTACGCCTCAACATCCTGCAGCACTGGGGCTCCTGAGAGACTGTATTCCATCCAACCTTGTTTTAGGAGATCAAAATACTACATCCCCTCTTCTTTGTCTTCCCTCCCTTAGACAGGGCAGCAACGAGCAACAGCAGCACACTCTCATTTGAAACCACATCATAATCGTCACGTAACAATCTCAGCTGAGCTGGACTCTGTAGTGCAGCAGCTGAGAACTGACACACATTGTTCCATCCACAGAGTGCAGCTCCAACAGGAAACCAGTAACGAGTGAAGGAAGGAAAAGATCAGGGAACAAGAGTGCCTTGCTGTATGTGCATGTGCCTGACTCTCTGACCTCCTGCTGCCGTGAACTAACACAACAGAGACTTCTCTTCCAGCCGTTTCCTACACTCCCACACATCTTGGCCCACAAACTGTGCTCAGAAAATTATACTTGTACAACAGTAGAGTTTACAAATTCATCAGAATGGTATGACCATCTTAAAAAAAAATACCATATGTGTATAAAAATGTAAATGGAGGACATTACTTTCGTCAGGAGGAATTGATGGTTCCGTTTCAGAAGTGACAGTATCCACATCTTCACAAGTTTTGGCACCTGGCTTCTCTTTTTCCACCTCACATAAATACACGTCAATGGGTCCTTTTGTGCTCTTCACATGCATTTGTATGTGATCCTATAAAACAGCAACTTGCATATAATCCAAAGAACACGTGCTTACACGTGCTTTATCTATTTTTGCACATATTTTGAAGGCAATAGATTAAGAACAGAAAAAATATAGGAATGATATAACTGTTTAAAATTGTTTTACTACTTCCACATATATTATGACTATTACATGCATTTGTCATTAAGCTAACGAGGTTTCATTTTTGAAGAAAATGCACTGAAGTATTTGTTTAGTCTTTCTACTAACCTTTAGATATGTGACCAAGATTTACTATGTGTTTAGGAAGAGTAACAAAATTCAAAACTTGATGAATCAACGCCACAGATCAGAAAACAAATTAGAGCATGCAGCTTTAATAACACAGCAAAGCAACTAATCCCTATCACTTCTACTACTTACCTTCAGCAGACATCATGTTGCAAGATACAGAGCAAATAAAATTTAATGGACAACTGAGAAAAGATTCTGTTCTCTCAAGAATACAGTTTTTTTAATTCTGCCTTTTTATTGCTTTAGGAAGCCTTTGGAATTTTATCTTTTTTATCTCCACTGGATGAGAGCCAGTTCCTCTTACCAGGGAAACCATTGGAAATCTATGCAGTGGAACTAAGTCTTCTTGTTCTACTGATTCATATCTCCTTTTCCAAAGATACCACCACCCTTTCTGTGCACACAGCGAGGCAAATTTGATGACTACACAACTAAGAACATTATGAAAAATGCATATGCAAAAAGAAAGCTGGATTAAAGATGCATTTGCTTCCTTCCAGAATTTCCCCTCTCAGAGCACTCCTTTAAGCAGTGTGTTCTCGGTACTTAGCCCCAGTAGATGCAGCATTCCTGGGTGCAGAGGGAAAAGGTCTCTGTGTGCCTGGAATGGAGCCTGAGTATCACACTGTGGGGTGAGGATAGGGCATGGCCCCCACCTCCATCAAAGATCTATCTAGACATGATCTGCTAGAGTGACAAAATGTTTTCTTTCTTTCAACTATACTGCACAGTTCATACCTTATTACATCTGTTCCATTCTCTCTAGCAAGACCCAGGTACCTAAAGCCCAGACACATGTATTAAGTAATGATTTAAGTAAAAAAAAATTTTGTAAGTTTCTCAGACTATTATCCCTACATCATTGTTTAGTGGAACACAAGAACAATGAACTACCAATATTTGCATGACAAAGAAAATAGAAGTTAATTACTGACTGCTGCTACCAAAAGTCAAATTTGAGAACTTACATCTCTAGGAACTGGTATTTCCAATTTGGTTTCCTCTGGAGCTTTGATTGCAATCACAATCTGTTCTTGAAATGTCTGAATGCTTCGGATATCTTGGTATGTAACATAAGCTAGTGTATACATTGGTCAAGGATTCTGTAAAGTAATTTGCTAATGAGCAGAAGCAAAGAGTGTGATGTCAACATATGCTGAGGCAGAATACCAATTCAAGAAAAGTGGTCAACAATGGTGTTAAGGTTACTTTATATTAGCTCTGTAAAATGTAGTATTAGCTAACAAGTGGGAAACAGGTTTTGGCTATTTCTAGGAAGAAAAAGGTTTTCAAAAATATATTCAAAATTAAAAAAAACCAAAATACATTTGACATTTTTCCCAGATGCTGTCATAAATCTACAAAGCAGAAGGAATATTGCACTTGAGAAACTACTTTCTGTTTCCTGATAGCATGAAAATAATTTCCTGGGAAACTACAGAACTATTTTCTTAACCAGAATAAGTAAGGTGTAAAGAAAATGGGTACATTTAATTTGAGCACAGGCCTTAACATTTTGCCAAACAAAGGATCTTAGTAATATTTTACTGTAACCTAAAGACAAAATTTAATACTTTTGTCATATTGTAAAAGAAATCCCTTTTCTATTGCCAAAACCCATCTGTAAGTCAAAACTACATTAGAAACTCTCTCAAGAGACAGAACAGTATTAGGACACAATCAACATACCATTATATCTTCTTGGCAACAAGCCACTGGCACTCCGTTTCGAGTCCACTTTGTCATCTTTGGCATCTAAGCAACTCAGTCTCACCCATAGGTCAAGACCTGCCCCGGAGAGAACTTTATAATGGAGAGAACAAGGTGATGGTCAAGGTACTAAGACCATTGCTGCACTTTGTTCTTCTGCAGGAGAAAGGTCAGCACTACCCTGAGAACAGGCTGGACTCTGCAGGATACTGCAAAGCAAAGTACATGACTGGCAAACACAAATACAAATTAACCAAAAAGTTTCCTTTTTTAAAACTCATCAAGTATTACTGCCTACCTGTGGTTTTTGCCTATGCTTATTACTAGGTATGGGAGTACTTGGAACCAAAATCATGTGTTAAAGTAATGCAAGAGCTGAAAGGATATTTTGCATTTTCTTTGTCATCTGTTAGTTCAAATATCTGATGAGCACAATTCTTGATTAATTCATCCAGAGCTTCTTCCATGGCCGACAAGTCAGAAAGTTCCTCTTTAAGGTTTTGCTGCTCTGGTGCTTTTCCAACAACTTGGTCAAGATTAGAACCTCTAAAAGAATATGAAAGTTGTCTAGTATGTTTATCAATAAAAGCCTGTTTATTGAACATCATGTGTACTAACAGAAAGTAGTCAGAAACTCTGGCATCCTCTACCCTCCTGAAATACACTTCCATGTGCTTTTGCTCTTGATACTTGTTGACATATTAAGTAATTCACACAGCCTAAAGACACAAAATATTACCTATGAAAAGTAATGTAATGTTTAAAAATACTCTCAAAGTTATAAACATTATGCAATATTGTTTGGTTTTACTGTTTCAGAAATTAGAAGTTTCAAAGCCAACTCACATCCACTGGATAAGATTCTTAGATCTCTTCTGAATTAAGTGGATTCCATCCAACACATTGGTGATATCATACACTCTTCGTTTTCGTACTCCAAGTGTTGTTGCTACTTCATTTAAATCAAGAACACCGTCTGGAGCTTTTTTGAGAAGAGCCATAAATCTTCGTGTCAAAAGCACCAAGGATGCATCAAATCGAGGCCTTTTGCCTTCTACAGTTTCTGTGAAGTTTTGATAGAATATTTAGGGTAAGCTACTACATAAGCATGAAGTATTCCTTAAAAAAAAAAGCAATAGTGATGAAGTAACAATGAAGATAAAAGTCTGGAAGCACTGCAGTTTTTAATGTTGACACTGCAAAGGCATCATGTAAAGCCTATTAGCTACAGATACCTTCGTTTGTTTGCAGTGATTGTATCTACATAGCAAGCATGCAGCCTCATGCTTTCACCATTTATGACTTCACACTGCTAATATGGATATTAATAGCTGTGCAACTGTATGAGCCATAGGACATGAGATCAGATCACTGAACGAATACCAGTGAAGCCCTCGGTTAACGATACATAGATAGTCAGGGGCACTGGCAGCAAAATGCAGCTCTATCTCTGCTCCATGACACCATTAAAATGTTTTTTCACACCCTTTTGGCCCAGATTAACCAGCAGACCTCCCAAATAACAATCAGGCATGGTTCAGGAGTCAGCATGGCTTCAGGAGTGCTTCAGCCTAGAAATGACCAATCTGTTCTGGGGTAGGAGAACTCAGTATGTGGACAAACTTTGTTTGCGCTATTTGGCCTCAGGGCAAAAGAACTGGTCATTCCATTGTTTCATTTACTAATGGAATAAATTTCTACAGACACCTTAACACCCCAGGTTTAAGAGAGATCCCTGTGCTATGTGTATCCATTACCAACATATTTGCAGAAATAGCAGAAAAGTCACTGACAAACAGCTTGTTTGAGAATGTTATTTATGTATGCAAAAAGCACAAAAAAGCATCTATTTTTGACGCACCAAAAAGACATGCTACACACACATGCTCATTTGATGCCAGAGGCAATGAAAGACTGTCAAATTCTGCTGTTACTTGTCTTTTCTCCTGTAAAGTAAACCAGGTATTTCATATCTGTGAAAATACCTGTTCATATCAAACCGTGTTCCTGAGCAGTATTCCAGTCTAATGCTTTAAGATAAGGTGAGTGTGTGTGTAAACAGACTTCCCTAGAAAATGCTCTAATTCAAATATTAGTATTTTTCCCAAGATGAATGAGACATGTACTTTTACTCATAATGTATCACACCTATTCCATGGGTGCAAATCTGTGCACTCTTTAACATGAAGTTACAGGTCCAACAACTCGGTTTCAGACTGTGAAACTGTGAAATGTGTGAAAGAATTCAACTGGTAAGAAAAAAAACCAAACCACAACAAAACCCCAACACCTAGAAATTCACTCAAGCTTGTTTGTATATTTAATAACAAAATAATAATAATGGCCAGTCTTCGCGAGCAAAGATCCGGGGAAGGTCTTTACACCTTCCAGCCTGCGCATTGGATTTTTTAGGTGAGACACAGTGTGCGCGGAACTGAGCCCACCCTTTAATCCTAAGGTTCATCTGCCAGGGCCAAGCGAGCTTGGATGGTGGCAGCGAGGTCCTCAGGACGTAGATGGATTGCCTACAGGGCTAACGAGCTCCACCTGCCCGGGAGTGGCCCTGACCAGGAATCGAACCCGGGCCTCGGCAGTGACAGCGCCGCGCCCTTACCACTAGACCACCAGGGGCTCCTTATATTTAATAATACCAGTTGAAAACCAGCATTTGCCAGCATGATGTTTCAGTTTTCTATAACTCACTTTTCCCATGCATTATTTTCTTTATAGCAGTGGGAAGGTTCATTTGCAGCAACTTTAAAGAAGAAAAACTGTGAAGAAGTATTGCTTCACATCTGTTATTTCATTTAGTGTTCAGCATTTCTCCTGCTCTGCTGATATTAGATACATTACAATTTCTCATTCGTTTATACCATGTACTGACATTGTAAAAAGCCACGAAATACTTCAAGAATAATTTTCCAACATGAAACACGGCAACTTACTTTTCACAAGCTGTGCATCTTTGTGCACATTCAGGTTGATCATTGGTGGCTGAGGAAATAAAAAAGTTAGAAATAACTGTCATGAAATGCTATTTACAGGGGAAGCTTTTTCAGAAAAAATCCCCAAATCAACTTTAAATCCTACAGCTATCACAGTGCTGACAATTCAACAGGTATTAATGTGAAGGAGTGTCACCAGACAGAAGGGATACACACTCATTAACTCTCGACAGAATTTTCAGCCCTTAATCTCAGCACATCTCTCTCTGTTTTGGAAAGCAGGAAACACCACTGAAGGCCCTAGTACTCAAGCAATGGTCACAACATGAAGAGATACCTGTATAATCTCTACAAATCCAAGCTTCATCTATTCCTTGTAGCAGTTCATATATGGAAGATACACAGCTATTACACAGCACTGCAGTTAAACGTTACAAACAAGACTGGTAGCAGAGCCTGCTCTGGGTGAGATACTAACGGGATGAGCCTAAGCAGGTACTTCATTGCACTCCTCTCCCCAGTTTAAGAACAGAAGCATTTTTAAATTCAGACTCATTACAGTTGGAAGAGACCTAAGGTCAGCTCTGGTCTAACCTCCAACTCCACACAGGAACAGCCATTAGATGAGAGCAGCTTATGCAAGGCTTAATTAACTGGGTCTTTAAAATTACAAGGTAGGGAGGCTACACCTCCCCGAGCATCCCACTTCACTGCTTCCCTGTCCCGACAGTGAAGTTCCATTTCACATCAAGCTGCAATCTCTCTGGCTTCTTTTGTTTCAATTCACAACTATTTCCTTGCAGCTTCCCATCATGTACAACTGTGAAATGTCTGGCCAGTTCCTTCAGTTCTTCTTAAGATCCTTGCAAGTACAGCATGAAGCTGTGTCGGGGTGGTTTAAGTTAGATATTATGAAAATGTTCTTCCCCCAGAGGGTGGTCAGGCACTGGAACAGGTTCACCAGGGAAGTGGTCACAGCCTGACAGAGTTCAAGAAGTTCTTGGACAACGCTCTCAGGCTTATGATGTGATTCCTGGAGTTGCCCTGTGCAAAGCCAGGAGTTGGACTCAATCTTATGGGCTCCTTCCAACTCATGGTATTCTGTGATTCTACTGAAGGGCTGCTGTAGCTTAACAAGCACCCTCAGGAGTTTATTAACAGCTTTGCTGTACTACTGGGCCTAAATCAGGCACAGCATTCCAAGAGCAGTCTAATACATGCCAAGTAAGGAAGAAGAATCACTTCCCTCAATTTACTGCCTATTCTCCTGCTAATACAGCTTCATATGCCTCAACGCAGGTGCACATTTAGCCCACCGTCCATCAGGACCCTCAGGTCTTTCCAGGGTGGCCCCCTAGCCTGTACCACTGCAGGGTACAGTGTAAGACTTCATAATTGAATTTTCAACTAGTTTTGGTTGAAGTTTATGAGGTGTCTGACGACGCCTTCCTCCAGCCCATAAACATCACGAGGAGGCATCTCACATCCTCCTCCTATGAACAGGACAGGTCCTACTGTCCCTGAGAAATGTCACTTGTAACCTGCTTCTGAGTAATATGAACTACTAACCATTCTTCTTTGATCCTGATGATTCAACCAAGGATTTTTTACTCATTTGGTAGTTTATCACATCTGTGACATCCCAACTCCAAGAGAAGAATGCTGCAGGACACTCTTTCAAAAGTCCTGCTACAGCTAATGTAATTGACATCCAAGGCTTTGGATGTACAAACCTAGACATTTCATCACCAACAGGGTAAGAGGTTGCAGATACAGCCATGTTGGCTATTCAGTCACCTTCTTCACATGCCTAGAAACAGCTTCGCAGAGAACTTGCTCCATGGCTTTCAAAGAGATTGAAGAAAGGCTGGCTTAAGCTGTAGCTGACTTCTACAGCCTCAAAAATCATGAGAGCAACCTCACTTGACATCAGCCAACTCTCTCAGGATGTATCCCAAGAGAGTCTTATGGACTTATGTGATGGGTTTTCTCAAGAGATTCCTAACTTGCCACTTTTCCATTGTTGGTTGTTCTTTAAGATACAAAGCCTAGGTGGAATCAGTTCTGAAGAGCCATGCAAGAAGGCTGAATATTGCAGCCTTACCTGTGTCTAGTCAGCAGGACTGAGGACTTCAGACTGTGATTCACCCAGACTGTGAGGATATAAAAGCCCAGGGTTTCCCTTGTTCAGGGTCTTTTGCTTGGAGGCACCACCTCGAGCTGTTATTTTGTTGTTGCACCAAGATTAAATTATTTTAAGTAGCCAGATGTGTGAAACTCTGCTATGGGAAACTTGGTCTGTGTGAGTGGGGGGTGCAGCTGTGAAGGGGCCTCAATCCCAGTACAGGTGGTGTGAGAGTGACTCCCAGAGTAGCTCCTGGATGGTCAGACGGGGAAGTTTCATTGTGACCCTCAGCATTCCTTGCTAGTTTCAACATTACAACTTTGGCTTTCCAAGCCTTATACCTACACGTCCTGACAGTTTTTATCCTTCTTCTTTATAGTCTGTCTTTGCTTTAAACTCCTCTATATGTTCTTTTTGTCCTCCCCAGAGTGCAGACACAGCTGTGCCTATCCCTTAACACATTTACTTGTCATGAGGATCAGGATGAAATGTCTCTGTCCTTATGGACCTCCACCTCTTCAGCTCCTCCAACTTTCAAAGTTGCCTCCCCTAAAATCTGAACTACCTGTTACCTGAATATGTTTAAGTCTTGAAGCCTTAAAAAGACAGAATGCAGGTTCAGTACTGTTACGATCCTTCCTCACTACACTCAGGGTCTTGACTCCACTGTTAAGGAAACTTCCCAGTCACAATCCCAACACCAGAGACTTTCACTGCTGGGACTGAAGCCCCTTCACAGTGGGTGGCTCCAGTGAGCTGACGGGAGCCACACGTGACTCCCTGCACATCCCACTCACACAGTCAGACCAGATTTCCCCTACTGTTTTGACCCCAGGTTTCCCTTAGCAGAGTCTCAGATGTCTCGTTCCATAAAGCAATTAATTCACAGCACGGTAACACAGAAACAACCCAAGCTGGTGCCTCCAAGGAGGGACCCCCAACAAAGAAACCTCTGCGCTTTTGTACCCTGACAGCCTACGTGAATCCAAGTTTCGCTCTTCCTCCTGAGTCCTCTGCTCCTGCCACCTCTCCTATTGTCCATCCACCTCACTGGCTCCACCTGTCTTTGTGCCCTTTTGTTATCCAAAAGCTCTGGTTGCTGTGTCTCTGTGTCAATTCATTTGGTCAGCACCCATCTTCATGCCCTTTCATGCCCTTTGTTATCCAGAGGGTTGGGCAGTTCATGGCCTCATGTCTCCCTAGGCTCCCACCCAAAGCTCAATTTGCAGCTTGCAAACTGAGCCACCTGAACCAGATGTGTTCCTCAACATCCACTATTCCATGGTGTAGTGGGTTGACCCTGGTTGGATGTCAGACACTCACCAAGGTCGGTTTATCACTCCCCTTCTCAGGTGGACAGGGGAGAGAAAATATACCAAAGGCTCATGAGTTAAGGACTGGGAGGGATCACTCACCAAATACCATCACGGGCAAAACAGGTTCGAACTGGGGATATTAACTACATTTATTACTAACAAAGTCAGAGCAGGATAATGAGAGGTAAAATAGATCTTAAAAACACCTTCCCATCAACACTCCCTCCTCCTCACCAGCAGCTCAGGGAGATGGAGAATGGGGGTTATGGTCAGTTCATCACAGGTTGTTTCTGCTGCTGCTCAGAGAGAGGACTCCTTCCCCTGCTCCAGCATGGGATCTCCCAAGGGAGACAGTTCCCCATGAACTTCTCCAGTGTGAGTCCATCCCATGGGCAACAGTTCTCCATGAACTGCTGAAATATGGGTCACTCTTCCACAGGACACAGTCCTTCAGGCACAGCCTGCTCCATTGTGTGTTCCTCAAGTCCTACAAGGAAATCTGCTTCAATGTGGGCTCCTCTCTCCACAGGTCACGTCCCTGCCAGGACCCTGCTCCAGCATAGTTTTTGCACAGGTTCATGTCTCTCTCTCTCTCTAGCATCCACATGATCTACATGTGGGTCTCCTCCACAGGCTGCAGGTGGATCTCTGCAAGCCCACTGACCTCCACAGGGTGCAGGCTCCACTCAGCTCTGCCACCTGGAGTACCTCCTCCCTCTCCTTCTCCACTGACTTTGGTGTCTGCAGAGTTGTTCCTCTCACACATTCTCACTCACCTCTTCTCTGGCTGCAATTACATCTGTGCAAAAACTTATCTTTTTTGTTCTTAAATGTGTTAATTACAGACTCCTTACCACCATTTCTGATTGATCAGCCTTGGCCAGCATCATATCCCTCTTGGAGCTGCCTGGCACTGGCTCTGTTGGACATGGAAGAAGCTTCTAGCAGCTTCTCCGAGAAACCAACCCTGTAACCCCCCACACACACACCCCCGGCTCCCACTACTAAAACCTGGCCATGAAAACCCAATACACACGGCCACTGCAGCCAAGGCTGTTAATAACTACCGTACGGGCCACCAGAAAATCTGTGATAGTTTGGACCTGGTTCCCTGCCAAATGCCCGAAAGTCAAAACACACATTCCTGACTTCCCTGTTTACATAAAGCCAATTCAAGACAGTATCACCCCTGGTTGACTCATCTTAACACCTAGATAAAGAAGCGCTGCCCAACACCCTTTGTTTTTTACAATCACGATCTCCAACGATAAGAAATTTTCAATTACCAGCGTAAAAACTCACGTGAACTCTTTCATGGCTGTAAGAAAATACTATCAAGTACCATTTACCCCAACTATCACGAGTAATTAGAAGAAATATAAATTTTAATAAATTTCACAAAATAGGCCTGTTTTTCGCTAACCACCTCATAGCATTACTAAAAGTAGTGGTGGCAGCTGTATATAAGATTGCCCTAACACCACAGATGTTCAGAGAAGAACAGAATACAGTCGTTGTCCATTTTTCTCAAACTCAACGTATTTTTCTCAAAACAACATATTTAGCTCGACTAAGGGGCTATTGGCAACACAGGTAAGAACACCCATCCCTTTGCACTCTAGCCCCTTTTCCCTGGCAGCCTGCTAGGGAAGCATCGCGGGAATGCCACGAGCGAGGGAAGCATCGCATGGCTCCTCTCGGGTACCACGCTGCCCGGGCCCGCCGCACCATTCCCGCTCAGGAGATGCAGGACGGGCTTTCGGCCGCCTCCTCACCACCTCCCGCGGCAGGAGCGCGGCTGCAGCGCCGCGTCCCGCCCTGTCCCCATCCCCAGGAGCGCCTCCCTGTGCCGCCCGCCATGTACCTCACTCAGACGCAGCGTGTCCGGCTGCAGCGGCCACAGGCGCTTCCACTTGTCGCGGCTGGCCATGTCCACCCGGCCCCTCCTCCTCCTCGCCCCGGCCGGCCTGAGGCGAGGCGCCGGAGGAGGGAGGGCGCTCGGTCGCCCTCACGGGGAGGCTCCGAGCCCCGGCCGGGCGGGGGGCGCGTCGGGGCCGCTCCCGCGCTCGGCGCGGCCCGTCATGGCCGCCACCTCCCGCCCCCCATTACCCATCGGCCCCCGCGGCGCGCGCGCTCGGCAGTGCCCGCCACTTTGCCGCCCGGGCCGGCCCGGCCCGGCTCTTCCCGCCCCCCTCGGGCCATCGCCCCGGTCCCATCGCCCCTCCCGAACGTCGGGAGGAAATGTGCTGAATCAATTCGTTTCCTCCCTTCTCCTCCCCGGAGGGGAGGAGGACGAGGTCTCGTCGTCCCCGCTTCCTCCTCGCCTGTGTCGGCAGCGGGAGCGCCCTGAGCCCCGCGGCGGCCAGTGTGAGCTGAGGGGAGGATCACGGAATATGCACATTTTGGAAGGGACCCACAAGGATCATCGAGTCCAACTCCTGGCTCTGCATAGCACACTCCAGTAATCACACCGCGTGTCCGAGAGTACAATCCAAGCACTTCTTGAACTCTTTCAGACTTGGTGCTGTGCCCACTTCCCAGGGACGCCTGTTCCAGTGCCCCGACACCCTCTGCGAGAAGTACCATTTTCTAATAGCCAACCTAAACCTTCCCTGACAAGTTTAGGCCATTCCCTCTGGTTCAGTCAATGGTCACCACACAGAAGAAATCAGTGCCTGCCAGTCGTCATCCCTTCATGAGGAAGCTGTAACTGCAATGAGATCTCCCCTCAGTCTTCTCCAGGCTGAACAGACCAAGTGACCTCAGCTGCTCCTCATACATCTCCCCTTGGAGAGAGGAGGTCCTCACTATTTTGGTTACTACAAGGAGGGAGATATTTTTTCCTTCAGTATAAAGCATAAGCAAGGAGAGAGCACCCTGCCCAAACATTGCTGTGCAAATATGAGAATAATTAGTGTTGTTTGTTGCCAAATAATCTGCTTCTGTCATGACTTCCAAGTACGAGGCAGCCAAAGCTGTGTGTGTCACGCATGGGGCAGACACAGAATGCCCATGTCAAGAATGAGTTAATTAGAGAGGCTTGTGTGTGAAGGGCCAGGTATGTTCCTCTTGGGCCAGACAGGAGCCACCGAATGTGGCTTGTTCAAACTCAGCCTGTCCATTTATCTCACAGCAACATCCTTTCCCCAGTGCTCCTGCCCTTTCCTCCACACTCTGATAACCTTTTTTGAGCACTGACTGACACCTTGCTCATTTGCTAACATCAGCAGTAATCTCAAAATTTCCAATTGAGTAGGTAACTTCTGTTTGTCAGGCAAAAGCATTTCTTTTAAAAACAGCTCCTTATTAAATAGCCCATCTGTTGCTTAGTTGCTCTTTATGGCAATTAACTCTCCTCTAAAACAGGTAAGTCTGTCATAGAGTACTTTTGCTTAAAGAATTTATGAACTATTTCACTTCCCCACCCACACTTCAAGTAAAATTTCCAGTCATTTCCCTTCCCAAGTTTCATCGGGTGTTGTGTAAAACTGCCAGTCTGGTATGAAGTATTCAAAGCCATGAAGAACTTTGTTCATATTCTCACACGCCAGACTGAACAGGTCAAATAACACTCCGATATTTGAAAAAATACTGAATTAGTTTTTGTTTACTAGATGTTTCATAACCCTTCCATTTAGACAATCCTTTGGATTGTGGTATGGTATCACCGATGATAGATCAGATGCCTTGACAGAGGATGGAGTTTTCTTCATAGCAACCAGTTTTCAGTCAAGTACTTGCCTGGTAATTATTGTCCTTGTAGAGAACTGTTGAACTAAGGTGACTTGTTCTGGTACTCTAATGAATTAATAAGGGTAAAAAGGGGAAAAATATGTTACAGATCCTCAAGGGCCTGATGTCTGTGTTTCAGGAGACATGAAGTCTGGAGCTGTGAATTTCAAGACGTCATGCAAATGCTGATTGTCAGTATTGCGAGGAGAGGTTAGACTGCTGCAGAAGCAGAAGGTTTTCCTGTTATGGAAGGGACACATGATTACACTGAAATGTAAAAATGCTCATTTTTGTCAGGGCAGCATAGTGCAATTGCTAACTACTCTGTGGTGATAAACTTAGTCCCATAAGAAATGAGTATTTCTCCCTCTTTGTTATACTCTGGAAGATGAATGTTATCATTGCAATTACAGATTATGTATAAACCCACTGTGATAAAGTAGGCTTTTTCCAGCTGGAACAGCAAAATGGTTTGGAGTAGAAGTCTAAGGCCACTTTAGTTTGAGGTGATGTAAGGAATGTGTCATGCAGTATAAAAGTCATTGAATAGGCTGCTCAGATATTATGAGGGAGGCTAGCAACTCATAATTTGAGGATTAGGATACATGAATTCCTGTATTAACCCATGTGGAAAACATTGCATCAACATTTAACTATGCTGTTGTTCTAGCCAGTCATAAGATCAAATCCTGTTGTTCCTGTGCTTCTCTGTCCTTGCCTGCTGATGTATCTAATGGAGCAAAGAAGAGGCCCACATGGATTCACATTCAGAAAGAGTTTTCTGTATTTACATGAAAATTAAGAAGCCTAATTATTCTTTTAAATGAAAGTAAGGTTTTGAAGTAACTCACTTGACTATCAGGAGTTTTTGCTGTGGCATTCTACAGATGAAAGAGTTTGATTCTGGTGTGCTATTACTTAGATTTTATAAAGATGATAATTAAACATCACACATTCTTTATTACTCCTGTAGATGAAAATTAAAATTATACCCCATTTACTGTTATTTTAATACATCTGAAAATGGCTGTGCATTCTTTTTAATATGTCCACACATTAGTCATATAAGACATGATTCTTAAAGTTTTGCTTATTTATCTGAATTCTTTTTTTATTGCATTGATTCTTAATGTGCCACCAGGGGGCAATAATTCCATTTCCTAAATCTGATCTTTTACCATCAAAACCTGCCAGACAGTGGGTTCAGTAACATTTTTGAGGGACTATGCGTGAAAATCAAAACATACCTTCTTAAAAATGTAATTTAATATCTTAGCCTGTATTACTTAGGCATGTAAGTTTTAGTTTTATTTTGAGCAGCTAAAATTAGACTGCTTTGTAAAAGCTTTTACCAATGAACCTCATGCAGCATATAATGGTGCAAAGTTTGGATTTCATGCAATATAGGATATTTTGTTGTTTTTATATTGCCGTTGTAAGATTTAAAAAATTGTTTTGAGTGCCACTACTTTCCTATTCTTTTTTTTTTATGTGTGTTTTTTTTTGTTTTGTTTTGTTTTGTTACACTGATATCCTATTAATATTTATTAGCCTGTATATGTGATCCTGAATTTGGGAATTATATCTCCTGACAGGTACTTATATATCCTTATATGATATGCATTTTTTCTTCATGTACATAGTAGTTCCAACATACTGCAGTTAAAGCCAAAATTGCCTTCTGCCTACAATCCTGTATGAAATGCAATCTTCCCTTTCATGATTGTAATTGGATCTTCCATTATGTGCATATGTATTGTTGAAAAGATGAGCCAGAGGAAATATCTTCCTGCAAAGGTGTAAAAGTAAAAAATCATGAAAGACAGCAATAGCTGTAAATATCTGTTTAAACTTCATGGAATTACAGAATCATCCATATTTTTGTGTATTAATATGTCTGTCTATGTAAATTTCCAAGCTTCCCTAAGGTACTCACCTCTGCATAACAATTAGGCATAAAGGTATAAATTTTTATGCTGTAAAATGTAATGACTTAAATCTGTTTCTGGCAATAGTAGACTCTTTTTTGGTGTGCTCAGCTTAATTTGACTGAAAAAAAGAATTCCTGTATACTTGGCAAGTAGTCGTCTATTAATTTAAGAAGGCAGATCTATTGTTTCTTCACTTTGTTGTAGAAATATGAGGAAGATCAAGTCAGTTAATCAGATCTGAACAGCACAGTGCTAAACATTCTTTTTTGTCATGTCCTGAATGGCACTTAGAAGTCATGGATGTGGTATCATGTTATATATGTGGGGTTTAGCTCATGATATAAACTGAAGCTCTTACTTTTTGTACCTGTAATTCAGAAAAGAAGTCATATAGATGGAAAAAGTACCCTTAAGGTGACATTAAAGGCTATGTAACTAGCAAATGCTTGCTGCATATGAACACTGGTGTGTCTTATTAAAAAGGTTCAGTGAATATTGTGTTCTTAATATGGTTTGGAAATTTGGCAGCAAGCTATCTGCCAGAGCCTAAGGGTTCTAGGCAGGTCTTAACAGAGCATGCTGGAGATTTTCATCCATGCTAAAGAGTTTAGAAACAGAAGAAGATTCCTGTATCTTTTGAGTTGCAGAGGAAGTGCAAAATTCCCTGATGTATTTAGTTTTGTCAACTCTAAATATATGAAAAAGTTGAAGTATGTTCTCATGAGATGGTTAGTTTTATATCTTGAGTTTCAAAGTATCTTTGAAGTTGATTTTTGTGGGTTTTTTTTTTTGATGTTTGGTTGGTTTTTGTTTTGTTTTGGTTGGGTTTGTTTTGTTTTGTTTTAGTTTAGGTGAAGATTTCCCCATTTTTGTATTATTTATTTGTTGGTTTTGTATTATTTAAATTTATTTTATTATTTAATTTTATCTCATAATATGAAAAAGTGTTCTATAGTATCTTCTTGAAAGTAGAGTAGCTTGCTGTTATGTGTGCACTGAGGCTTCTGATTTAGCACACTCACTGATGGTGGGATTGTCTGTAGATATATAAAAGTCATTCAAGCCTAACATGGAATTGTTTGGGTTGGCCACTGCCATTCTTTCTTCTTTCTCCCTGTCTTACAGCAGTGAGAACTTGAAATGGATGAGAAATAAAGGGCACCTGTTTGTGTTGAGGGAAGGTAGAGGAGAAAGATTTTCTGGCAAGCTTGGTTACCTGCCACTGGGAGGCAAACTGTAGGTGGATGCTGGAAAAGCAGAAACCACTGGAAAAACTCAGGTAGTCTTTTCCATTATGGAGGCATCTGTGTTCCAAATATCCATGCTGTGCTACTCTAGCCCAGTGCTTCCATGTCTCACCATGAGGGAGTAACACCCCTTGTGAACAGGTCCCAGTGTTCCAGCAAGATTAGATCACCTCCAGGCCTAGAGTA